GTAACGGTACGTTCCCTTCCTCTTTAATTCAAAACTGTAAATATTTCTGAAGAGACAAGTTCTGGTTGTATGACATGGCTACACCAGTAAAATAGGCTTCCCTCTCTTTAATCAAAAGTGTAAAGATTTCTGAAGGAACAAGTTCTGGTTGTATGACATGTTACACCGAGTAAAGTAGGCTTCCCTCTCTTTAATCAAAACTGTAAAGATTTCTGAAGGGACAAGTTCTGGTTTTATGACATGGCTACACCGAATAAAGTAGGCTTCCCTCTCTTTAATGTGATCTTGTCTTTTCCATTCGGAAGTCTTCTATTTTTTTCATTTTTAAACTTATTCAGTCAGTATAAACTTATCTTAGTCAAACACATTTTTATAGTATTGCAATTCGGTCTCAACAACTTTAATTCTCATATTCACGTTTTAAAGATTCTAAATGTCTCTCGGTGGGACAGTGGTAAACTTAAGGACTTAAAACGTTAGAATTTGGGGGTTCGATTCCCCATGGTGGACATATCAGATAGTCCAATGTGGCTTTGCTCAAAAAAAAAAAAAAGACACAGCAAAAGCAAGATTCTAACCATATAAGGTTCCTGAATATCGATTCTGCAGAGATAAAGACGAATTTACAGAATTCGTAACCAAAACTTAAACCAATATTGCTTTTGTTGTTGTTATATAATATAGTGTTTTGAGATTGTTTCCTTAATTAAACTTTCCTGCGTTACAAGTCCTTTAGGTCGAACCTCATACATTCTTTGCTATTTGAATTAAATCAAATATGCTTTCGAACTAAAACAATATTTTCATGCAATTTCTTCTTTTTTTCATCAACTTTTTGTGATTTCTCGAAATTTTCGTGCAAGTTTGTTTATTCCAAAAAACAATAAAAGGCTTTTCAATTAATATGTAGTGTTTTCCAAACTACTGAATAATATGCACTTTAGATATAAACAGTTGCCCCCCCCCCCCGAGATAATCTGATTAGCCAAAAATAAAATGCACAAACTACGATTTTTTCCAGTTGTCATGAAATTGAGAATTAAGTTTGGCTAGTAGTAGTACATATATCATATAATATCACAATAACATTGGTAACCCTTTAAATCACATCATTTTGGGTATCATATAATATCACAATAACATTGGTAACACTTTAAATCACATCATTTTGTGTATCATATAATATCACAATAACATTGGTAACACTTTAAATCACATCATTTTGTGTATCATATAATATCACAAAAACATTAGTAACACTTTAAATCACATCATTTTGGGTATCATATAATATCACAAAAACATTGGTAACACTTTAAATCACGTCATTTTGGGTATCATATAATATCACAATAACATTGGTAACACTTTAAATCACATCATTTTGGGTATCATATAATATCACAATAACATTGGTAACACTTTAAATCACATCATTTTGTGTATCATATAATATCACAATAACATTGGTAACACTTTAAATCACATCATTTTGTGTATCATATAATATCACAAAAACATTAATAACACTTTAAATCACATCATTTTGGGTATCATATAATATCACAATAACATTGGTAACACTTTAAATCACGTCATTTTGGGTATCATATAATATCACAATAACATTGGTAACACTTTAAATCACGTCATTTTGGGTATCATATAATATCACAATAACATTGGTAACACTTTAAATCACGTCATTTTGGGTATCATATAATATCACAATAACATTGGTAACACTTTAAATCACATCATTTTGGGTATCATATAATATCACAATAACATTGGTAACACTATAAATCACGTCATTTTCTATACTCTTGATACTTTCTTTATAGTAAGAGTTTTCACGAAGAAGACTGCATCATAGAATTTCATCTACACCATTTTTATCATACTCTATCCTGATAACCTGTATTGGGAGAATATAAATTGTGATTTAAATAATTGTTGGGGGAGTATAAAGTGTGATTTAAATTATTATTCGTAGAGTATAAAGTGTGGTTTAAATAATTATTGGGAGAGTATAAAGTGTCATTTAAATTATCATCAGTCTTATTTCTGTATACTCCACAAGTCTTACTACTAAGCTTTCTCCGCAAGTTACGGCATTGTATAAACTATAAGAATTATTTCTTTATACTCCACAAGTCTTACTACTAAGCTTTCTCCGCAAGTTACGGCATTGTATAAACTATAAGAATTATTTCATTATACTCCACACGTCTTACTAATGATCGTGCTTCGCAAGTCACAGCATTCTTTCCAAGAGTTTATATAATGAAATAAGCTCCACAAGTCTTACTACTAAGCTTTCTCCGCAAGTCACAGCATTCTATAAACTCTTGGAATTATTTCATTATACTCCACACGTCTTACTAATGATCGTGCTTCGCAAGTCACAGCATTCTAGAAACTCTTGGAATTATTTCATTATGCTCCACAAGTCTTACTACTAAGCTTTCTCCGCAAGTCACAGCATTCTATAAACTCTTGGAATTATTTCATTAT